CATGTCACCAAGTGAGTGAGCGACTTTAGTTTAACGCCGCTTTAAGCAATATTCCGGCAATATCACGGCGGGGGGACACCAGAAACGGGCTTCACACATTGTACCCATGTGGGGAATCGAACCCGGGTATTCGGCGTGACAAGAGAACGCTTTAACCACTATGCTACCCTACCGTCCCCCATGCCACAAAGCCACCCATTCCATACAGTCACGACAAACATAGGCTACTTGTGACCTATTCGTCTGAAGACAAAACAGTGGAACAGATCGCGTAAACGCACCATGCTTCCCGGCAAACCGAGGAGCATGACTTTTCACGTGCGGTCGGACCACGTGCTCTTGACCATGTGGGAAACGGTCGAATCGGTCAGTGTGTTGAGGTTATACATGGGTTAAGGTCTAACTTGAGTTTAGACGTCAGTTGAGTTCAGGTTTCCCTTGAGTTCGGTTGTTTCTTGAGTAGGGTGACAGCTCGTCAAAATAGGATTTAGATAGACTGATATAAAGAATGTTTTAGTGCATCGAAATAGAAGTTCCATAGAGCTAGCTGCTATAGAGCTAGATACTGTAGATAGTAGACTAACGCTGCAATATAGCTAGATAGTGTAGATAATAGAATTTAAGGTCACATTAAGTTTCTTGCCTCATTAGCATTTGTTATAAGGGATTCACGTTTAGTTCCCCATTTTGTATTGTTTGAATTATTTCATCAGTTTAATCAAGAGAGTCACGTTTAGTTCCAAAAATAACATATTTCGATACTTTAATTTTAGTTAGTTTAGTTTTCAATTCCACTGCGCAACAATGGTAGCAGAGTGTGGTTTCTGTTACATTTTCAATAGAACCAATAGATAGAAATAGAACTCATTTGATATTTAGATAGACAGCTTAGACCAAACTATGTCGGAAACTGGAATAGATAGCCAGCTTAGGGCAACTACTTCGGAGCCTAGATCTCTGTCGGCGACAGCCGAACGTGTTCGTGTGTTCGTGTTAAAACAACAAAAGGCAACAGCCAAATCGAGTTGTACTAAAGCTAGGAATAAACTCATGACTTTGATAGAAAGTGATGATCAACCATCACAGAAACAGGTAAGGGATGGTGTAGATCAACTGAATAAGCTTTTCGTAAAAGCGACAGATGTTATGTTGGAACTTTCAAAGGTTTATGTTAAACTGGAAGATCGTGAGAATATTGAAAAGTTGGGTCACGAACTTAATAGTTTAGAAGAGGAAAACAACACAGTTCTTGAATCTGTAAAGATATATTTACAAGGTAGATCGGAATCTGACAGATCAGGAAAACGCTCTCTGTCCAGTGGTGGGTTGGACAGACTTTGCAACGAGGGTGAAATATCCCGAATTGTTCAGCAACAAAGTTTTGTATCTCGGCGACAATCTCGTGTTTCATTTAGGCAACAATCTGAGGTAGCTGACCATGAACGTTTGATATCTGAAGGACCCAACCAAGGTAAGGTGGATATACTAGCATTGCATTCTAGTAGAACAGAACGTCCAGGTAAGTCTGATAATCAGGCCATAGGGAATGACATGTGGAAACGGTTAAAGCGTGTTTCCATACCTGTATTTTCTGATGACGTGAAAACCTACCAAAGCTGGAAGGCTGCCTTTATGACTTGCATTGATCAGTCCCACAGCAAAAAGTTGTTGCAATTACGCCAATATCTGTCGGTGGAAGCCTTGAAGCATCAGTTGAATCTTTAGGTCATAGCTCAGTAGCTTTTGTATGATGTTGCTCTGGAACGTCTTGAAAGAGTCAAGTTTACCAAGCGATAAACAAAGCTACCAAGAGATAAACAAAGCTGAACCACAGGTTGTTGAGTCAGTGGTTAATATGGGTCATGATGTAGAACATGCAAAATCTAAAAATGTGTTCAACCTGAAAGATTTCATGCAACAATGCCACCAGTGTCCAATACGATGATAGCTCTTCGCACAGTTCCAGTGGTATTAAAGAATGGTCCGAGGAGCATTACAATAAACGCCTTGCTGGATGATGCAAGCACGAAGTCGTACATCAATGCGGACATTGCAGCTGAGTTGGGGTTGGAGGGTGAACAACAAAAGATCTTTGTAAATGTCCTTAAAGGTCACACAGAATCGTTTGACACAAAACCAGTCGAATTCAAGCTTGAAAGTATCAGTGGTGATCTAGGTATCCAAATGTCTGCAATGACAACTAATAGTGTGACTGGTACTTTGCAAGTGATAGACTGGCAAAAGCATGGAAGCAAATGGGGACATTTGCAAAATATTCCATTCTCCAAAGTAGCAAAGCCTTGCATGGTCGATTTGCTCATTGGTGTTGATCAATTAGAATTGCACAAGTCATATAAAGAAGTAACTGGACATCCTGGGGATCCAGTTGCAAGACTTACACCACTTGGGTGGACTTGCATAGGTCGCTTGTCTGATCAAGGTAGGTTTGGACAAAGTAACTTTGCTAGCTCATTCTTCATAGACAACAAAGATATTGAGCTGAACCAGTTAATGCACAAGTTTTGGGAATTAGATCACGGAAACCCAACATCATCTCAAATAAAACCTGATGATGAAGTGTTTTTACAAGCAGCACATGAAACACTCGCACATAAAGATGGCAGATATGAAATAGGTATTCCTTGGAATGAACATGTCCATTTGCTGGCTGACAACTATCATATGGCTGTTAAACGTCTTTACAGTACTGAAAAGCAGTTGTCTAAACATCCAGAAATAGCAAAGGCTTATGATGGCATTATTTCTGAGTACTTGTCAAAGGGATACATTCGCAAAGTTCCACAAGATGAACCACTTAGTGAAACAGAATGGTACCTTCCTCACTTTCCCATTTTGTGTCCTGACAAGAGTACCACCAAGGTTCGTATTGTGTTCGATGCCTCAGCTAAATATGAGGACCTCTCTCTAAATGATGCAATACATGCAGGACCTAAGTTGCAAAGCGAGCTGTTTGATGTTTTGCTTCACTTCAGAAAGCATACGGTGGCACTTATCTGTGGCATAGCTGAAATGTTTCTTCAGATCAGTATGTCACCAGATGATCGACCTTATCATAGATTTCTGTGGAGGTCAATGGATATGACTAGAACTCCTGATGTGTACGAGTTCAGCAGGGGTGTATTTGGAGTTACATCCTCTCCATTCTTGGCCCAAGTTGTGACACAGGAACATGCTCGAGTTCACATAAGAGAATATCCACTGGCTGCAGAAACAGTCATAAAATCGACATATATGGACGACAGCATGACTTCTGTTGAAGATGTGGAAAAGGGTGTAGAGCTCTATGAACAGTTAAAGGAACTATGGTCTAGGGCAGGAATGCATGCCAGAAAGTGGATGTCAAATTGTCTTGAGGTGTTAGATAGCATACCTGAGAAGGATAGGGTGAATGAGGACATTTGCCTTCAGTCAAAACTCTTGGCCTCCTGTGGATAGCCACAAGAGATTGTTTCACATTCAGGGTAAACTTTCCCATTACTGTTGAGAAGATCTCAAAAAGATTTTCCTGAGATATGGCCAGGCTTTTTAAAAGATCCCTTCGGTTTAATATCACTATTCATTGTTACGGCTAAGGTGATTCTGCAAGAGATGTGGATGGCGGGACTTGAGTTGGATGATGAGGTCTTGAGACACAGAATAGAGCAATGGCTGGGAGACTTGAGTGGTCTAGACGCAGTGAAAGTTCCCAGGTGTCTATGCAGTCATAAAGATATGACATCTCTGACTTTGCACACCTTTGTTGATGCCTCGCAAATAGCATATGGAGCAGTTGTGTATGCAGTAACTGCTTACCCAAACGGAGACAAATTGAGCATGATAGTAGCATCTAAAAGCAGAGTTGCGCCACTGAAAGCTGTCAGCATACCCAGATTAGAGCTTATGGCAGCTATCCTAGGTCTGCGATTGGCATTGAATATCACAGAAGCACTTGATGTTGACATTAAGCAGGTTGTCGTCTGGTCGGACAACATGAACGTGCTATGCTGGATTAGAAATAACAGCCGATTATTCAAACCTTTCGTTGCCAACAGGGTGGGTGAAATCCATGAGGTTACAAGTCCTTCACAGTGGACACATACTCCCAGTGAGGCAAATCCCGCTGATTTGATTAGTCGAGGTGCCACAGCTCATCAGTTGATTACAAATTCATTGTGGTCGTCAGAGCCTTCTTACTTACTGAGAGATGAAAGTGAACGGCCTGAAACTAAGCTGAAGTCATCAAAGGAGGATGACCTGAAAGAGTTGAACAGAAATACGCTTCAATCTGCAAGCTTTCTTTCAGTGCCGTGTGACTCATGGCGACTAGAACCCTCTCGATTCTCCTCATGGAGAAGACTCACGAGTGAATGCATGGGTTAACAGGTTTCTGGACAATTGTCTAGCATCAAAAGATGATAAATTTGAAGGGGAATTATAACCAGATGAGATAAGTGACGCTGAACACCGAATCATCATGAATATTCAGAAAGAATCTTTTCCAAAAGACTATTCAGAAAGCCATTACCGTCAGGGTCCAAAATCTTAAACCTCCATCCTCAGGTGGATGACAATGGGCTCTTGAGGTTGAAGGGACGCTTGGAATACGCTGAATACTTACCGCAAGATACTAAATTTCCAATCATTTTGCCAAAAAGCAGCTGGGTGACAACGCTTATTATTAAGCATTATCATGATGAAGGTAAACATATCGCTGGAACAAACCAAATACTAGCTTCACTTTCAACAAAGTACTGGATAATCTCTGGCAGAGAAGCGATTCGGGCATGGGAGTCGAAATGTGCACGGTGCCGTTTGAATAAGGCAAAGCCAGTTCAACCGGTTATGGCACCTTTGCCCAAGATGAGAATGGGAGGTTCACTTCGAGCCTTTACACTGATTGGAGTAGATTATGCCGGACCGTTCAAGGTAGAAGTAAACAACGACAGAAGCGTTACCTTTGTCTGTTTACATGCTTGTCTACTAGAGCCGTACATTTGGAAATGGCTTATGGCTTGGATACGGACTCTGTTCTGAATGCCTTTTATCGAATGGTAAACAGAAGAGGTCTGCCTGAGCTGGTAGTATCTGATAATGGTACTAACTTTGTTGGTTCTGTCAAAGAATCGAAGGAGGTGTTCCTCCTCCTTGATGAGAGTGCAGTTAGACATTCACTTGCAAACAAGGGAATAAAATGGTGCTTCAATCCCCCTCATGCATCACATTTCGGAGGGGTGTTTGAAACCATGATAAAGGCTGCAAAGCGTGGCATCTTTGCTATCCTCAGTGGTGGTGATGTCACAGATGAAGAGTTGATGACAGCTTTCACTGGAGCAGAGGCTCTTATCAACTCTCGTCCCTTTACTTACCAGTCGGCTCATCCACATGACAGTACACCTCTCACGCCAAATCACTTCTAACATGTACAGGTTGGCGGGGTGTTCGCACCTGACACAGTTGACACAACAGATTTCAATCCACGCAAACGGTAGAGAAGAGTTTAAGAGTTGGTGCGTCACTTTTGGTGTCGGTGGATGAGGGAATGGTTACCAGGTCTCAACACTAGACGAAAGTGGTTCTCTCCTCATAGGGATCTTCAAGTTGGAGATGTTGTTTTAGTAATATCTCCCGATATGCTTCCTTTTCAACTTTATAAGTTGAATGTGAATTTTTGATAATTTGTTACTGTAAGTCCATTCCGAAAGGTATCAGAATCAGCAAAGTTTTGCGTTGCATGTCAGCTTTAATGGATTTCATCTTTTCGTCTGAGAGTTTTGATTCACGCAAATGTTTCTTATATTAAATTATTGCACCTAGCACATTGTTAATTTTATAAAACGTATGCATAATTTGTGAATTATGTTGGATGACTATGGTCTGAAACATAAGTTCTATGTGCAAATATTTTAAGAAACTCTGACGTATAAATACAGTGGGAAACGTTTAAAAAGTGACATTTATTATTTTCTAATTGGTTGTTATTGAATTACTATCTCATTTTAACACATATTTGAATGTCAAACTGTCTGTGGTTTGTATATTAAAGAGCATTCTACCACGTATTGATGTGTTGTTGCACAATGATAAATATATTTGTTTTTATTGTTTGCCAATAAATTTTATCAGAATATAAAAATCATAAAAAAAGCATATTAAGAAATGAACACAATCATTTTGTATCAAGAACTTCAGTATTTATTCACATATTAATGGTATATGTACTATGTGTCGTGAAACAATATCTACATAACTGTCTTAGTTTCTTCCTGGTCTATTTTCATTTATCTGTGTCGAAATATGTTTAAAATGCTTTTAAATTCATAAACAAAGACACAACGCGATCCTTGTGTACAGTTCTTCACTTTTTTGCGTTTGAGAAAATTTTAGACACCTTCTGACATGGTAGACATAATATACAAACCCCATTTAAATTCTCAACATGAATTTATGTATTGTGTGAATCTCACATACACAGGGAACACAATTTACCTTATAACATTAGGTATATATGATATTTTATACAAATAACATTAACATTAAACGTGATTTTGATATGAATAGTTAATAAATTTGGTTGACTCATTTATCTGTGAATTGTATGGGTTCATTTTGTCCGGTATTTGTATCGCATGTGATTAATAAAATATTCCTAACCTGAAGTTGGGAGCTCTGCTGACCCATTACATTGTAAGGTATTTGTATCGCATGTGATTAATAAAATATGACTAACGTTATGTGGGGAGCTCTGTTGATCCATTACATTGAAAGGTATTTGTATCGCATGTGATAAATAAAATATTACTAACGTTATGTGGGGAGCTCTGTTGATCCATTACATTGAAAGGTATTTGTATCGCATGTGATAAATAAAATATTACTAACGTTATGTGGGGAGCTCTGTTGATCCATTACATTGAAAGGTATTTGTATCGCATGTGATAAATAAAATATTACTAACGTTATGTGGGGAGCTCTGTTGATCCATTACATTGAAAGGTATTTGTATCGCATGTGATAAATAAAATATTACTAACGTTATGTGGGGAGCTCTGTTGATCCATTACATTGAAAGGTATTTGTATCGCATGTGATAAATAAAATATTACTAACGTTATGTGGGGAGCTCTGTTGATCCATTACATTGAAAGGTATTTGTATCGCATGTGATAAATAAAATATTACTAACGTTATGTGGGGAGCTCTGTTGACCCATTTACCGTTAGTTCATTGAATTTGCAATATATTTATTTTGAGACAATAGTTGTAAACAGACTGGCGGTTTTATGTGAATGTAATTTATTTCATAATGAGCAGTACAGAATTTGTATGGAGGATATTAACAAACCTTGTTTTCATCTGTTTGATCTGTTTTCCATCGCTATCTGTTTCCTCCTTCTGGAAACTGAAACAACATTGTACGATGATTATGACGAAATTTATTGTGACGAATAATAAATAGATACTTATGTCATATACACATTGTATGTATTCAATGGCCAAACTTTTAGCATATGATTTGAAAAGTCAGATGAGTTCCATAGGAAGCTAATATATAACTCTTACCTATTTATCCGTTTACAAATTAACTATATCTATCAGAATCATGGTAATTGCGGTGTAATTCCTGAAATAAATACCAATACAAATATAAATGTTATACTCACATGGACATCACGGAATCTCCTTTCACAATGCATTTGATTGTCCCACATGGAACCGTCTCGCTTGGGAAAGCCTTGTTGATAATATGTCTCTCACAATGATATACACATCCATTGATGACTATCATTGGTTCCTCGCTGTAATGAGATAATCTATACATTATATAAAGAATTCAATTTTAGGTGCTTTCGCTTATTAGGGTGTGTGGGTGGGTGGTTGTGGGTGTGGGTGTGGGTGTTGGGTAATTTACTTACTCGTCAAATCCAATCCCATCCACCTCTCCTTCGACGATCTCTTCTTCTTGTTCGATTACCTACAAGAGAATATGATGAGTCTAGAAATGGATGTTATTTCATCACACAATTGTTTCGTATTTTCAAAATGTTAAATTTACAAGAGACTATAATGAGTCTAGAAATGAATGTTATTTCATCACACAATTGTTTCGTATTTTCAAAATGTTAAATTTACAAGAGACTATAATGAGTCTAGAAATGAATGTTATTTCATCACACAATTGTTTCGTGTTTTCAAAATGTTAAATTTATACTTCCTTAAGCATATATTACAATAGAGCTTTTAAGATAAATTTCCTGAATGAGTCAGATGGTAGAAATTAAGTAAATTGTTTTCTAAGTAATGAGTGTTCATAGATGCCATTTACTAGGGTGTTTAAAAATCATCTGTTGCTCACCTCAAGCGTCGTCAAACTTGTGGAGTTCAGGTCTTTTTTAAATTCGTACTCTCTTGTACAAACATGGGAAACCTTAATCAGCTGATTCATTGGGGCATCCTAGGTTGATTGTTTACTCCAGAGTTTTTCCGCAATGTTCGTGAGCGTGACCGTCTTTAATTCTGCCTCAAATGCCTGTGACACCTTGACAGAAACGAATTCACTAGTTAAATGACACGAAAAGTGAACTTGTATTTAAATTGTTATTTTGTAAACGAAAATATTTTTCTTGTTTTGTTTAGATGTTTTGAGACAAAATTATCAAACAACGTCGAATTGATTAGAATTATGTGATTCCCTAATGATACTAACGTGTTCCACTTTTCCAAGGACGGTGATTTTGGCACCTAAGGGCGTTGCCAGCGCTTCTGTGACGGTTTTCACCGGAGGGTTTCGAAAGGCCTCGATCACTCCGTTGTATGCAAATGGTTTGCATGACAGAATCTGTAATTAAGCAAATATAGAGAAAACTTCAAACATGAGTATATTACATACTGAAATGAAATATTATTTATAGTAAGAACTAAATTGGCTTTAAGTATTGTGGACTGCATATACGATATGATGGAAATGAGTATGGCAGTTTAAATGGTGAAATATTGCCGGTGGGATTATACGACGTACATGTATTTTTTTGCAGAAAAGGTTCTTCACGTGGTTTGTTGGTGAAATATGAGGAAGAATTAAGAACAAACTTGCAACTGATATAACATCATATCAAAAAGTGAATTTAAGGGGTCTTTTTTAAATTTGATATTTATTCTAAGAATCATTTAACATTTACAAGTACATGTATTGTATATTCGCTTCCCCATTCTTACCCCAAGAAAAGTCTATTAGTTACCTTCGACTTGTTTTGCAGTCTGACGACACCATCCTCTTTGATAATGGCATCTGTGGCCATATGGAACCCTGGCTTGATCTCTCCAAAATCCATGGTCAAAATGACCGCCGTCAAGGTGTTGGGTTTAGATTTCAAAATGACTTCTGTTCTTTTCTAGAAGCCATATTTGCTCTTCTTTTCAATTATTTCAGAGAAATGAAAAAATGCGATGTTGTGCGTTGATTGTTTCTATAACAATTAAAAACAAAAACATTAATTACTGTGTTGGTAAATTGTATTATTGACATGCAATGTTAATGCAAACCTAATTACTAAGGAGACAATGCTTATAGTTTGTATCCAAAATACCACATATTTCCAGACATAAGCAGTAATATGATATCTGTACTGCAACGTATTCAATAATGCATCACACAACAGCAGTTCAATTTTGAAATAATTTGAAGAATGACATACCTTAGAGAGATCCTGTTTAGTTGATGTCGATGCCATTGTGGAATAGCTGGAGAGGTGTCAACAGTCTTGGTAGTCCCAGATGAAAGGTACCGATGCCAGTCAGACCATGACATATATTGAATACGGACAGCCAATCAGATTTTTTTCTTTCTGGAGGGCAATGAAATTCTCTTTCGATTCCCCTGTGAGACAAGGAATGCCTAAAAAGGTGCAATGTGGTAGTGGCCATGGGGATGGGGGCTAAGCTGTTGATATGGATGGTGGTGGTGGAAGCTACATGTTTGATAGTGGCGCTGGTAGTGTCGGAAAATATGATGGTAATGGCGAAGAATGCTGGTATGCTGCTGTGGCTGATTATTTCTCATTATACATTTCTTGCCAAGGTAATTTGGAACTATCCTGGACTCAACCCTTTCAATCCCATAGGCAGCTTGTTCTGGTCTTAATCTTCTGAGTGGACCGCTCATTCTTTAACATTTGCTCCGTTTTACAAGACGTCGATGCCAAGATTCCACTTAATTCAGTGGTTTTCTTCTTTTCAGTTCTGGCACCCGTGAAGAGCCACCTCCTCGTGGTGGGTGCTGGGTAACGCTAAGCGCTCTTCGACCCCCTGTTGTGGACCCGGGGGGATATTTGGTCCACCAACCCGTTTGCCGTGGGTTGCGCCCCTGTGTCGGTGGAGGACGGGAGTCTGGTGGTTGAGGGCACTGGGAGCCTAGAACCGT